TTCTTAATCGTCAGGAGTAACAGTTGTAGATAAAAGCTGTGGAGTTGCTTATTGACATTGGCATTGCTGACCCGAGCTAGAATTATTCTTGTTACTTTATAGGAAATAAAAAATCATGTCAATAGTTATAGGGCATGGGAAGAGGGCAAGAATAAATATTTAGCAAAACAAACTCTTAAGAAGATTCAGGTTAGCTTTTTCCCTTGTGTGGGGGCAGAAGTCCAAGGTAGGTGGGGTAGAAAGTGTCACCAGGGTGGACAGGGACAAGGGACCATATCGTAGACCTGGGTCCTAGAACCCATGCGTGGGGAGAGACGTATCCCTGTGATGTACAACTTTATTGTACATCAGAACCACCTGGGAAGCATGTCCAGAAAGTTTCTGCCCAGGCCCATTCCCACCAGTTATGACTCAATCAGCCTATGAATCTGAGGGGATTTTAAGAAGCAGTTAGAGGGGCCTGTTATTCATCCAGTGCCCATGTGGTTCCAGGCGTGGTGCCACAACCCTCTGAAATGGATAGTATCATTCCCATTTTACAGATGAGAAAACTGAGGCTCAGGGAGGAGGGGGTAGATGCTTGAAGCCTCGTAGCTGGGCAGTGATGGAGCCTGGACTGCAATATCAGGTCGGGGTTAGTGCAAGGAGCTGGTCACAGAAACAAGTCAAATCCTTAATACTAGGCCCAGTGCCGAATGTCAGAGCAGGACCGGAGTAAGAGGACGTGCAAGCTGAGTCCACACACCTCTCTGGGGACCGTCTCTTCTCCTTGAGGAAAGGCCTGGTTCTGGAGCCTAGGATGGCGCCAAACCTATGCTGGTGGTGAAGAAAAGACTGGGAATAAGGTGGGGGTGTGAGGAGGAGGGGAGCAGAGGGTAGAGAGAGAAAAGGAGGCAGGGACTGGAAACCAGGCAGCAGGAGGCCTGGTCAGTGGGGAGGACGGTGGACCGGCGCCTCCTCTGCGTCCTCCTGCAGGCCTTTCTCCTTGAGCTCCTTTCTTTCTTCTGGACCTTTTCACCTGCCTCTCTTATTTCCCCTTCATCCTTTCTCCCTGTTTCTCCCCTTCCCTGTTGGAGGAGGGGTTTTATCTTCCTTCAGGCATGTCCTCCCAGCATGTCAGGTACACTTCCCAGGAGGTCAAGGAGAACAGTCAATTATTTACTCAGGGAAAATCAGCTCCATCAGCAGTCAAAGCCCGCACGAGCCTCCCTCCCCAGTGCACATAGCCTCAGCGGGCACCCAGCCTCCCTCCCCAGTGCACACAGCCTCAGCGGGGCCACAGCCCTCCTCCCGGGCCCTCCCCACAGAGCTGAGCTCACCCTGGGCTGCAGAGCTGCCTGCAATTCCCTGTGGCAACAGCACTTAGCAGGGTCTCATGTTTAATGCAAGCGAGCTTCTGAGACAGGAAAGCTTTCAAGATACAGCTTAAGATACATAAATGCTGCCCTTTCCAGCGCAAACAGAAGTGTGCGGAATGGATGTGGGTTTTCCTGTTTTACGATAATTGTGTTCTCATCTGTACAGATTTAAGCAAAACCATTCTGTCAGAAGGAAGGAAAAATCTATAAACAAGGACCTCTGTGGCCTAAAGAGGCCTGGTCGCCTCACGTTTTGAGTCTCCCAGTAATTTTAGAATGAAGAAAGGCCAAACTTATGTCATAAAAGTTGTAGTTGATTGTCAACACTTATCATTAACAAGTTAATTATTTTATATTTTTTTATTCATTTCAGAGAGGAATGGAGAGGAAGAGAGATAGAAACATCAATGATGAGAGAGAATCGTTGATCAGCTCCCTCCTGCACGTCCCCTACTCCTGCACCTGCAACCCCAGGCATGTGCCCTGACTGGGAATCGAACCATGACCTCCTGGTTTATGGGCCAACACTCAACCACTGAACCACACCAGCTTGGCAGCAAGTTAATATTTTTAACACAAAAGATATAATGTAATGTAATTGTTCTAGTAATAAACTAATTACAGGATTTGTAAAAATTTATAATTCATAGTTCACTCACCATAGGTCATGGGCTAGAGATATAAAGCTGTATTTTAAAAACTTCTTTCAATCATGTCAGTATATGATTCCTTTGGAAATAACGCAAAAAGCCTAATATTGAAATCTTATGTTTGAGTTAAGAATTCTGGTGACTGTGGCCATGTTTGAGCTAATGATATTGGTGACTGTGGAGATATCCCTGCTATGAATATAGACACTCTCATCTCTGAATAAGTTCCACTGTTCTTCCCACTCTGTCTCTCATCCTGACTAGCTCAGCTAGTGTGTCGTGTCCCAACCTGTCTGAGCAATGCTCAGGGCGGCAGGGCTTTAAGAATAACATCTCACAGCCTCTCCTACACTGTTTGGGCCCAAAGCGGCATGCCACATCCAGGCATTGCCGCAGAACTCAGTGTTTTAAATGGCCCTGGTGCTGATTCCAGGTCTGGGGCAGGAACGACACAAGGTGAGCCCAGACATTGGACAGTGCCAGGAAGGAAGGAGCACTCAGACACAAACACCTGTATCCCTCCGTTGATGGGGCCATGTCAGGGGGGCACAGGAGCCAACCGGAAGGGCTCCCACTGGCCAAAACTAGAACAATTTGAGCAAGAAATTCTATGAGGTATTGGATTATAATCCAACGTATAAAATAAATATCCATGAGTCAATATTGACACACAGAGTTCCATAAATAAATAAATAAATAAATAAATGGGAGACACAAATCTTCCTTGCAGGTCCTTTCTTCCCTCCCTTCCTCCCTCCATCTTTCCTTTTCTTTTTTTCATTCTGCCCCTCTAATTTATGTAGATACTCCACCCTCAAGAAGACAGAATATAACTCCCCACTTATTAAGTGTGGGCCACACATAGCGACTTGCTTCCAAAGAGGACAAGATGGAAGGAGGTGGGGAGTCATTTTATGGTGGGAATGGAGTCAAAGGAAGACAAAATGTAACATTAAATTAGTCCAGGAGTATTGGGGCATACTTCTCTGAGTCTGGATTGAAGGTGTTTGCTCATCAGGCTAGAAGCCGCTGTAACAGCATTCTTGGTTGACTTAATGAAATGTATTTTCCACGGCAGCCTCATTCAGTGAGTTGAGATGTCAGAACCTCCTGCTATAATGCAGAAAAGGGATTCAAAGACTTAGGCAGATGGGAATGTGAACTTGTATGGGGCATGAACATCCAACCGTACCTCCTGATGGGTCCAGAGGACAGTCTCTTTACTAAGGTATTAAAAAATATATTAATGAAAACCATTTGGAGAACCTGGCACTAAACCATTCGTAGACGACCTCCTTCTGGGTCGGGGTCTCGTACGTAGCAGAGCAGCTCCCTCGCTGCGATCTATTGAAAGTCAGCCCTTGACATAAGGGTTTGTAAAAAAAAGAAAAAAACAAACAAAAAATCTATTAATGAGAGGAGCACCAGCATCCCTGAAAAGTTCTATGGTGGCTCCCCAACCGCCCCCCCACCCCCACTTGCCAGGCTACGGTTAGTAGCAGAAAATGTGGCCATTGACATGGGTCCAAACAGGACAATAGGAATAGGAACTGTATCATAGAGAATTAGTATAGGAGTATTGGTTACACCAGCGCTGGAGGGCTGAATGAGGGAGAAGGTCATTCGCTGAGGTCACCCAGAAATAGTGACCCAGGAAGCAGCTCCCACTGGGGTTGAGAGAACAAGGAAGAGGCTGGGGTAGCAGACCCGAAAGCTTGGAGGAAGTGCCCTAGAAAGCGGGGCGTGGGCCTCTGAGACGGGCCCTGCCAGGCGGGGCTGCTCCCTCTGGGGGTCCTGATGAGGCTGGTTCCGGGAGCACTTAAGGAACAGAGAGGCTGAAACCGACTGCTGAGAACCCATTGCGGAGCTGCTATGCCAGGAGCACCAAGCAAATGAAAAGAATTCACCCCTCCTCCTGCTCCCCCTGCCCCTGCAGAGACCCTTATTTCAAAACCTGGGGGAAGCCAGCCAGGAAAGGGGAAATCTGGCCTGTGGAAGCCCAGCCCAGCATGACAAAGCGGGATACAGGGGCGTGCGTTTGGCACTGGAGGGCCGCGGCTTCATAACCTGCGCAGAACTTGCTCTGTCCCCTCCGCTCCTAAAGCAAACCTCTCCAAGACAGGCCCGTTCTTGAAATCTCTTCTTTCCATAGCTGGACAGGGTTTTAGCACATATTGGTTGAGCAGGCATGGATGATATCACCCTGGGACAATACAATCCATTTTGAACCTCAGACCTCAGCCTTGACGAACAGCACATCCAAGGATAACGTTCTAGGTATCTAGCTTGAGAGTGTTTTTCACTCCAAGGAGATCATTTGGCAAAGCCGTGCCAGGAAAGCCTTGCCTTTTGAATACGTGGAGGAACTCTTGCTGTCAGTGGTCTGAGGAACGGAGGTATTGAGGACAGCTCAACTATTCCCGTAAAAGAACTTAAAAAAAAAATCCTTGTCAGAGGCAGGGATCAGCTGCCATGGTGATGGGGATTTCTGAAGAGTTTACACATAAAAAATAGAGTGCAGGGTCAGAGAGACTTGCCAGGCCTTTCCAAAAATAACCCAAGAACCAGTAGAAAAGCTCAGCATTTACATCGAACCAACATCTTTCTTAACCCCAAAAGGCTGATGGTGAGAATTTCTGCTCTAAGCGTTAATGGTATTAGTTGAGTGATTGATCACACAGCTCACTGGAGGCAGGGCCAAAATGCAAGTCTTGTCTCAGCGGCTACAGCCGTGGCAAGCTGTATATTGAGGACCAAGAACTTTCCTAATGGCCTTAAAATGGTGTTGGTACCAAAATGCTCAGCCCAGGGTCATCCATGTCAAGTTAATTACGCATTCCTAGTCTTTTCCTTTCGACTGAAATAAAAATGATAATAAATGAGCAACACTACTTGGCAAGATAGATACCAGCCTTTTCTTTGAAATACTCAGAACTCGATGAATATCAATTCTATTATATGCTATCCATGAAAAGACTCCAACCATTACAGCCTGTGCAGAATTACTTTTATTTCAGTGTCAAATTCCAAAGAAAAACACCCAGGCATGGCTGGGCTCGTTTGCATTTACAACCTTTATTATTTTCAGGATGTGGTTCTGAACCCAAACCCACTGAGTCGTGTGCGCCTGCCAGCAGTATTTTCAATGTGAAACTACAGCACACTGGATCCTTTTAAGAAGATATGGGTCTTTATAAAATAAAATGGAACCCGTTTCTGTCCAGGAGACCAAGGTACCTGTACTATTGGGGTAATATTTATATCCTAAAAGTAGATGTTCGATTCTCAACTTTCATTTCTGTTGGAGCCCAAAACCAATGTGGCTTAAGAAAAAGATGGTGCCCTAACCGGTTTGGCTCAGTGGATAGAGCGTTGGAAGGTCCCAGGTTCGATTCCAGTCAAGGGCATGTACCTTGGTTGCAGGCACATCCCCAGTAGGGGGTGTGCAGGAGGCAGCTGATGGATGTTTCTCTCTCATCAATGTTTCTAACTCTCTGTTTCTCTCCCTTCTTCTCTGTAAAAAATCAATAAAATATTTTTTTTTAAAAAAGAAAAAGATGGCCTATATTCTAAATCATTTCCAAAACAGGATGGATATAAAGATCGCAGGACACTCAAGTCATCAAAGCAGCCACAAAGATTCTAGAACCATAAAAGGCTCTGTGACTTGCTACACTGTTGATAAGAGCAACAGGATAAAGAGATTTAAGAAGGAGGGCATATTTCAAACAGGGGAGAATCATGTTTAAGGAATGGCTAATTTGTTTTCCTGTAGAAATCTTTGGTACATGGCTCTCCTGGGAAACTTAATCAATTAAAACCTCACATGCTATTCTCCTTGTGAGCGAGAGGAATGCATTTCTTGTGTTATTACATAAATGAATCTCATCTTCGGGGCCTTGAAATATAGCTTTATCCAGCCTGTAGTGAATCTGTGTGCCATCTCATCTTTCTGCATTACAGTGAAATTGATTTTACGATTCCTTCCTCATAAATTGCAGGCCTGCGGCAGTGACAGGCTTGGCGATGTTTCGGTTTTGTCTTCCCTAGTCTCACGGGCTGGGCACGTGACCTGCTTTTCTTTTTTTAATTTTTTTTCTCTCAGAACCACATCAAGCTTGCAGTTCTGATTCTGGTTCTGAACCTAAAAAATGCATTTTGAAAAAGGATGGTCTGTTAAGCCCAGGATGTATCCTTCTTGCCTTGTTTGTATCCTCTAAACGGAATGTTATCCTGAAGCCTTTTGGGTATCATTGGGATGAAACGTTTTGTTAAGAATTACTAGAACGATCACCATGCCACTGAATGCGCGTAACATGAGTAGCGTTACAAAACTAAAGCTATAAAACTCAGAGGATGTCTTCCTTCGCTCCTCACCCTCCCCTCCTCAGATGGAAGCAAAGTAACATGGCAGTCCTGGAATTTCTGACAGTCCTACTGGGTCCTGCTTACATTTCAGGCTTTGGTTACTCAGACAAGAGAAATATTACCTTAATACCTCACCCCCCTCCCCCATTTTTCTTAAAGAAAAGTTCTGTTGGTTCCTTGACTAGTCTGATTAGAGGGATGAGTAGGGTTGTACTATAACACTGGATTTCCTTCAGTCCTCAGGCTCACCCTTGGGGAACCAGGCAATTCCTTGAGGCTACCTCTAGAAGACCAAAGGTAGAGGAAGGGAAACAGAGGTCAGGGCTCTTCCTCTTGCTCCCTGGCAGGTGTGACCCTAGCCTGACCCCAGGCTTAAATTCCAGGAATGGATGGAGTTCTACACATTCCACCTCTTCCCATATCCAGCAGTGGCTCTGGATTCGCGGCTCCTGTTGCCATCGACCCATCCACCCCAACTGGTTCTCTCTCAGTTGGATATGCAGCCACCTCGTGCCCCAACCCAGGCGGCAATAGAGTGTGTGGTCAGGGGAGCGCTCAGTTAAAGCAAGAAGGAAAGATTGGTTTTGTAAATGTTTTCTTCTAAACCAAATCTTACTCCTAATGTTGAGGTCATTTTTTAAGCCTACTTAAACCTTTTGGTTTTAATATTCCAATTGACTTTTTTGCCTTCTCTCTATAATAATTCTAGAAAGAGATCATTTAAATCAGTACAGTAATTACTACTCATCCTCTGAGAAAATATGGGCTCCAAAGCACACTTGTTTGGGCTGGTGCTGTATACCAACCTCAGAATGAAGGGGAAGCAGTGGATCGTGGTAAACATAATAGGGTACAGAACAGCTCCCCACTTCTTGCTGAGTTGAGTTCACGGTTATGACTTCTCAGGATACCTGGCATTTCTATACTCACGAGGAAGAATCAGTCAAGACTTGAGGTATGGATTTTCCCTTCAGATGATCTGCAACACTGCTTGCTCCTCTCTGCGCTCTCACAGCGTTCACCAGTGTGTGTGTGTGTGTGTGTGTGTGTGTGTGTGTTGTAATGGATTTGCATACGCACACTGAGCCTTGACCAAGACTGAATTCTCAGGGGCAGAATTGCTTCTCATTGTTTTCCAGCACCTTAAAAACCTGGTTCACATGAGGTTCTCAAAAAATATTTGTTGAATGAACCAAACTTGTTTCGTTTTGTTTTGGAGTGACACAGAAGTGTCATATTTCTGGTACATTTCTAGAAATGCTACGAAAATCTCTAATGCATACACAACAGTCAAACCACGAGTCATGCGTGTGCATGGAATAGGGCTAGCTAGCCGCTAGACGGAGCTCGCTGGTGTGGAGAGTGAGCCATACCAACAGTTAACCAGTCTCCCGCTAGACCCACAGGCCACACCTTTCCTAACTGGCTTAAGACCAACTAGAAACTATCCCATTTCTTTCATGGATCGTCAGCATCCAACTGTCATGAAGTGTGTTTGCTTGGTTATTTTTTTGAGGAAGCAGCATGGTTTTTTACTCTAACAAAATGTCAACCTTAACAATTTAACGTTAATTCTTTAAATTCCCACGAGATAACTAGTTTAACAGGCGAAACACTGCCGCATTCTTCACTGGGTGCAGTCTGAAGCAGGTGTTTGGACTGGGGATCTGATTATATATCCCTAAAACGCAGTTTCCTTTGATGTAGCTCAAGGCATGGAAGGTAATTTCAACTCTTCAAAGCCTAAACCTTACCTCCCTGCATCTTTAGAACCTGTTATCCTCTTTACTTCCTTCTAACACTATTGTGGATAATACTGGCTGAAAAGAATCACGTAGGTGGGATTGATACATTTTTCTTTCTGGTTGTGCCATGATTTACATTTCTTTCCGTTTTCCGTTAAGGGACTTCGGCAAATACTCAAGTGAGTGGGATAAGCCTAGAGTCTAATTGTTTTAAATGTCAGTTGAAAAGTTTTTATATGTGTTATAAATATATGAGAAGGAATGCTTCCAATGAATTTTCTGAAGACTTTTACAAACATTCCTTCCTTTAAGGAAATGTTTCCTAAGGGGTGGGGTGGATAATATACAGGGTGTCCCAAAGAAATATATATACACACTTCAACTGCTGAGAGCTCAGTTTTGAAAATGAAATGTATTTTAATAAGCACTGCCTTTATCGTTATTCCAAGTGTGGGGGACACATTTCTGAGGCTCACCCAGGGGGATCTTTCAAACTGCACATTCCCCTCCACAAATATGAATATATTCTTTCCCATTCTCTCCCTGAAGTCAATGCTGCAGTGACCTATTGATCGTTGTGTGCCATACCCTTTTGTGTGTTAGGAATTATTGTTTTCAACTTACCAGTGAATAAACACGTTTCCAATTAGAAGTCTATAAGAATACAAGACATTTTGTTTAAATTGCATGATTTATTTTTAGATCATCCCTCTTAGTCCTGCATGCATTGTTAGCACAAAAAGTTGGACTTGACCACAACTTCCTTTAAAGAGATAGTAGGTACACAATCACCATCTGAAGTTTCTTCACAGATGGCCCAAGAATTTCAGGCCGTGGTAACACTGTCAGTAACCTACACAATGTTCAATAGGAAAATTTACCAAATGTCCTTTGTTTAATGTAAACAAGGCAGGAGGCAAACAGAGTATTACAGTGACACTATTTTACAGGGCCCAGAAATATGATTATCATGTTTTAACACATCATGTGTCACAATGACATGCATATTTTGATTAATTAAACAACCCAAAATATAATTACTACATAATTTGTGGTTTGAGCACTTCACTGTAACTTCTGTCAATACCTATGAACTTCATAATTAAATTGGTAATTGTATATTAATGCAATAATTTATAGAAGGATATTACCATGGACTATAAAGGTAATCCCCATAATTTGTGCCCTGTAAAATTAAGTGTAACAATCTTTACACTAGCAACAGTGTAAGCAAGCTAAGGATTTTGGTCCTTATATATATATATATATACATATATGTACACATGTACACACACAATGATGTACAATTAAACCAAAAAGCTATGAATCCACTCATAGCTTCCATATTGCACAGACAGATATCTTACGAGAACATTACATAGTTATGATGTGAGTACTGCACTGATAATTGGCTAAAGACAAGTCTGAGTTCTAGCAAGTAAAGAATGTGGCTCATTACTAAAAATAACCACAAAGACTATACTGTTAGAGAGAAAGATTTTTTAAAAATGGGCATAGCTATTTATACCAAGGTGAAGCAAGGCTAAAATTTGGTTTGGAACTTGCTTAGGGCAATCCGTTGTTAAGATGGTATTTTCTACCCAACACAGTACATTTTGGTCACTATTTTGCAAGTACCCAAGTAATAGAAATATTCAGCTTCTGAATGACAGTACAAAAAGACCAGCAATGTAGTAGGATGTTTCGCTAACAGATCCAACTCACTGTGAGAAGTTGTGCTGGCTCTAGGTCCCTACTAAATATGAATAAAAGAAAGAAAGAGAAAGAGAGGGGGAGATGGAGGGAGAGAGAGAGAGAGTGGGAAGGAGAGAAAGAAACTGAGAAGAGAAACAAAATATACTTTAAGCTTTAGTTGACTATAAATCAAAGCCATTACAATAACTTAGAAAAAATGTTTTAAGAAGCAGCATACATACATATAAAAAATATAAGAGTTAAAGCTTTTCAGAACTTGGTTTCATGCATTAGCTATAGGGTCCCATTGTGAAATCAAAGATTAAATAGCATTTGGTCTGAGAGGTCATGTCTTTGCTATTACACCTATCAAACACTATGAACACATGAGGAAACATCTAATATCTCGTATTGCCTTATTTTAAATACACCTACATCAAAGTAGGCTACAACTACACCTAAAACTGAAGATGTTGCTGAGTTCCTTGCATGGCCTAATGAGTAAATACAGCAAACTTAATGTTTTCCCCTCATGAAAAATCATTTAAAGAAAAGCACACACAAAGTAACTACCTCCCACTTTTGTTTTTCTGCTGTTTTGCTGAATAAATGCCTTAGAAGGAGCTAACGAAGATGCACATTGAATTAGAAATTCAGTCTCTTTGTTGTTGTTTTACTGGTGGTAAGCATTCTAGAGCCAAGAATATTCATCATCTTTTGATATTTTCTTCACAATAAATAGCAAAAACGAACTATAAAATAAATCAGAAAAACGAATGCGACAAAATTAGGGGTGGCGTAAAACATGCTTCTGTGCATACGCCACACACTGTGAAACTGCACACACGCCACAGAAAACAACTTCCCAGGAGGGGCAGCAGCAAGAGTGCCTCGGAAGCCAGAAATCTGATCATCTGCTCCCTAAATATCAGTAAACGGAAAGACAAGAAAGTGCTGCTGCTTAACACTTCAACTAAAGAAGAAAGCTTAGAAGCAATATATCTGAGGAGTAAGCGTCACTTACAGGAGGAATAGAGAGTGGATCAGCAAACAACATTCTGTCTATTAACTCCCAGCACGTGGTGCCCACACAGCTCTGCCAAGCTACCCACGGTTCCTACATACATACCCACTCACATACATACCCACTGCACCCACATTCTTTCCCATGTAAACAGGACAGACTGGTCTGTCTGTTTGGTTTTTAACTCTCTCTCTCAAATAATTTAAAACAAAAGACTGAACAAAATGAAAACATAAATGTAAACATTAGGGAGGCCATTGGAATTTTGATTCTAAGAGTTATCAGTGAGTTCCCCACCGAGACACGACCATGCATTTCAGTAAGAAAATCAAATTATAAAGTGATTTCATGAAACAATTTTCAAAGAGAGATAGAACAAAAAAAAGGTTCTCAACCTAACACGTGTAAATTAGCTTTAAAAAATACTATTTTAGCAAGCACTACCACTGGTGAGCACAAACTCGGTATTGTTGCCAAAATGACACGGTTTAAATAAACTGGGACCCATACATGAACATTAATCACCTACATGGCAATGTGCACACGAGTAAAAGAACATTTCTTTAAAAATATATATATTATATTAATCAAGAATTTTATTATCATATTAAATTGTTATTCTTAGAAAAGCTGAAGGAAGTTAATGGTTCTCTACACATTTTTATCTCCTATTATTAACTCAACTCATTTGATGGTCCCTGAATTGTATTTTTTTCTCATTTACAGTTTTTCATATTTTGTTTGATAAGAATTCTTACCTTAAAAAGTTATAAAAATTCATTGTTGTTGTTTTTTGCTTCAGATTAATCCAAAAGAATATAAGCATCTGAGTCCCAGAGAATGCCAAAATGCCTTGCTACCAAAAAGGATATTAAAATAACAGAAACATCAAAGGCATGACATCAGAAATTCCGCGGCTTTCACACAGGCATTAGAAATGCTTATTTCCGGAAGTTCCTTTGATTGTGTCCTGGATTCAAGGACGTGCACATCTATGTATGGCGCCTTAATGAAAAAGCAATGGAAACACTATTATACAACATTGTACTGAAGTTGCCCACTCGATGGGTTCGAAATGCTTCGGTCCAGTTTGCAGCAATGCTTCATTGAAAAGGGCCTTTTATCGTCCTCTCTTCATGAGGTGAAATGTGCACAGCAGTTCAGTTCGCTTGGTTACCTGGGAGGGGTATCTACGGCGTGGAGGAAGCGTGGTACTTCACAAACGCGATGGCCGCCAGCTCCTTGCAGAACTCTTCCAGCACGATCACGCCCTCCAGCAAGGTGATGTGGTCCACCCTGGGCGGACAAGAGGCAACACGTCAATCAAGAGAGCAGCAGGCCGTCAGTTTGGGTGGAATTTTTATAGTGGAAAAAAAAAAAGTGAAACACTGACTTACATAGGGCCTTCCGGTTCTAAACCAAGTAATCGCTTTCTGACTAGTAGAAGCTTGGGAGTAAAGTCTTGAATACGCTGGATTCTAACCATAAGGTCTCCGACGACCTACATCACAGACACAAAAGGAACTCGGTTCCTAAAACCAGCTGCATAGGGATTTTCAGGATAAAAAACATACCCCGTTTCCTTTCACTAAATGAAGAATGCCGCCTTTCACTATTTGCATAACCATCTTTGACAGAGGACTCATATCTACTCCTTAAATAGAGACATTATATATATATATAATTTTAAAAAATGAATTTTCCTTTTTTTCTTCATATTTTATAGTGAAATAATTACTTCTAAACAGTAGACATATTTTCCTCTATGTGACACTGATTACATGCAATGATATTAAGTTGTTAATTGGACAGGTTTATTAAGCCTAAAGAAAATATAACAAAACCGATCACTCACCCTGACAATGACAGAGAAGAGAGACCGACAGCCAGAAGCAAGGTTCACATAGGGATCCAAAAGGTATTCGTGTACGTGTGGATGAGGGAAGAGAGACAGTCTGGACAACACCGAGGTCACTTGTAAATTTACGTCATATGGCTGGGGAGAGGTGAGGAACAAAAACACATTTGATGTTATTCATCATGTCCATCCCGGAGCACTTACTCTACCATTTTGTCTTTCAAGAGAGGAAAACTGACCATTTACTCCTCCCTCCTCCACCTGCTCTTCTACAATGGCAACACCTGTAACTAAACTAGTTCTCACCACTTAGTCACAGTGCATATAACTCAGCCCTAAACGTTTATGCATGTAATATACAGAAAAAACAAACACAACATGTAAGAATGTCTCTGTGTTACCCAGGTGGTTTTATTACCTGATCAAGAATTCTTCCCATTCTGTCAAATAAAACTTTCAAAAAATGACCTTCAAAGAAAGTGGCTTCTAAGTTGCACTTTTCCAAGGCTTTTGGAGACCCAGGCCACTCCCATCTTAGGCAGATAGCACAGTAGTCCCGGAACTAGGGAGAAAGCATTTAGATCAAATTAACCCAAAACAAATTGAGGTGAAATAGAAACGATTTCCTCCAACAGGAATATCAAAATCCATATGAGAACGCAGAGGGCAGAGGGCAGAGGCCTGGGTAAGGGTGTGACAGAGGGACAGCGCTAGAGACCACTGTGCGTGGAGGACAGTGGTAGAGAGGAAAAAAGGAGAATAAGCCTGTGGAATGGAAGTAAGGGCGGCGGAGAATCATTTAAAGGTCACCTTTGGATTAGCGGGGAAAGGATTTGGGGGAAGATATAATGTCGGAAAGGGAAGAAAGGAACGAAGAGAAAAAAGGGAGAGGGGCGGGGGAGAGAGGGAAAGAGAAATCTTGAGACAGAGACAGTGAAATGCAAGGTGAGGTCACTTGCAGGAAGCTCTAGTAGTGAGAGCAGAGGCCAGGCCTTGCGGAGAAAGGGAAACGTTGGAGAAATGACTGTGGGGGATGTGACAGGTGTGTGAGTGCATTCTCATTCGATTTCATTTCAAAAATGTGGGTATTAGACTCACCTGCCTGTGAGCATCTCGGAGGTAGGTGTCATATCCTGTGCCCTCAACGTGGTAGGAGGATTTCGCTTCATCCGGTACCAGACAGAGAAAACTTCAACGAAAAAAGTTAAAATCAGTAACATAATACTCTCACGATATCTTTATATGTATTAAAATACCTAGCGATATCTTCAGTTTAAACAAGTATTAATGCAAGCGGAGACTTGAAAAATAAAATTGTATTTTCTTAATCAGCCTTACTGATTAAATACACTGTCATTAAAGCGTTGATTCAAAAATTACTCATTCCTCTTAAAGGAGAAGTAAGCCTAAAATGACTTTTTTGTTTGTTTGTTTACATTACAGCACATGGACAGACTGCCATGCTGTTTGTTAATCTCGGGAAACTGGCCTTCAAGTAAGTGAACTTAAGATTGCATGCGTCCTGACTTTATATCTTGAGCGACATGCAATTTTCTCCAGTCATCTGAAAGAACCAGGTGTATCAGTAAGAGCACTGCAAAGGAAGAAAAAGAAGGAAATTGCCATAGAAAGGGCACTTAAAAAAAAAAAAAAAAAAGTAAAACCACAGACTAACAAAAAAAATGACCTTAGGCTTAGGAGTAAATATCTAATAAGCACAGTTTGTCAAATTGGAGATTTTCAATGTTACTGCACTTGGGAATTTAAAATTATTTACATACAGAAGGAAGGGTACTTAGAAGGTCAGTTTCACTAAGGTCACGTGTGTTTAGTTCTGTCTTAAGCAGAGCCTTTCTCTTTTGCTACCGACGTTGCCCTGAGGCTCTCACTGGCTACCTAACTGTGACAAAAGGCTCACATAATCTTTAGATTAAACAAGGGAAGACTGAGTTCATACGATATCTCTGTAACAATCCAAGGGCAGAGCTATTATTTGTTATAAAAACAAGTAAAAGAAACACCAGTCGCTCTGCCGTGTGTAGGTCAGTGGTTGAGCATCGACCTATGAAAAAGGAGGTTATGGTTTGATTCCTGGTCAGGCCACAAGCCTGAGTTTCAGACTACATCCCCAGTAGGGGTATGCAGGAGGCAGCCAAACAATGATTCTCTCTTATTATTGATGTATCTATCTCTCTCTCTTCCTCTCCCTTCCCCTCTTAAATCAATAAGAATATATTTAGAAAAAAAAAAAAAAGAGAGGTGCAAGTTAAATGTATGTAGCAACTCACCTATTCACAATTTTATGGACTTCAGTCTTCCCATCATTTCTGGGGTGGTCTGGAGTAGCAGGTGGCGAAGAACTAAGCCATTCTTGGTTTGACAAAGTGTTATCTGGTGAAATGTCAGTAAATAATGGATCTTCTTCCAGATCTCTAAGTTTAATTTAATGACGTATAAGAAAACATTTTATTATATTTTCTAAACCAAAAGATTCTCTGCTATGCTCTTAGAAATAATTTTATTCTTACATAATTTTGTTTAAAAAAAATTAAGAAATAATGTATTGATATTTTATAGAGGAATTAACGTTTTATACTAACATCAAAGTCAAGAAGATAGTGATTGTGTTAGACCTAATGAATAGATAATGCCACTTATAATTTAAAGGGATAGTAATATTAAGATATCTAAGATTTATTTTTTTAAAACTTGCAAACTGTTAGAGGTTTTTTTAATGAATAAGGGAAATAAGAGGAAAGAGAAAATTATGATTCTACGTGAAATGCTAAAGTCACAGAGCTGGCTAGAAACTTACACTGCTCCTGCTATCTGTCCGTTCTCTACCACATCTTTATCTTCTGGACACAAGGGTTTATATTCCGTATAATTTCTTTCTTCAAGATTTCTTAGGACCAAGTTGTAAAGAATGTGCTCATTGGGTTTTTGTAAAAGATGTTCAAACATCCTTAGTGTCATTATGCTTATCTGAAACCAAAAACGATAAGGCTAACTGAAAAATGTCTTTCAATAAAGTCTTCTTGCCATCCTATAAGTCATAGTGTCAATTTTTAAAGCCACATTAAAAAAAGAGGCTGTATTCAACACGTCACAAGTATATTAAAGTCAGTATTTCAAAGACTCTAAGTCAGTGGTTCTCAACCTTCCTAATGCCACGACCCTTTAATACAGTTCCTCATGTTGTGGTGACCCCCAACCATAAAATTATTTTCGTTGCTACTTCATAACTGTAATTTTGCTACTGTTATGAATCGTAATGTAAATATCTGATATGCAGGATGTATTTTCATTGTTACAAATTGAACATAATTAAAGCATAGTGATTAACCACAAAAACAATATGTAATTATATATGTGTTTTCCGATGGTCTTAGGCGACCCCTGTGAAAGGGTCGTTCGACCCCCAAAGGGGTCGCAACCCACAGGTTGAGAACCGCTGCTCTAAGTCAAATTCTAAACCCTTGCACAGCTCACCTCATCAGATATGTGATCACAATGTTCAATTAACCTGTGTCTTAAAGGGTGTCTGTTCATATCTGCCAGAGTTTCTGGCTCCCTCTGTTCCCCAAGGATAAAAAACACCATTTCTTGAAGCAAAACATTGGAGGTGACTTGCCGAACAATGCGATGAAGCAAAGCAGTCGACGTCAGGATACCCATCTCGGAACTGGCATAAGAAACAGGGAATTAGCGGGCAAAAGTAACATGAACACAGCGGTTTTACTTTTTAAGTAAAGAAACCACTCACGTTTGCATTAACTGAGGTTCCATAACACCAATAAAAAATCTTTCATGGATGGCTTTGGCAAGAGCAACAGCAGTGGTCTAGAATATAGTACAAGCATAGATATCAGAGAGAGATTAATTTATAACATCAATAAATCAGTCTCCACCCTCTGTCTGCATTAATGTGGAAAACAGACTTGCCTAGATTAGATGCTAGTTATTAAGTGCTTTACATTGTATCTAAATTTCCGACAAGCAGGATAAAAATATTATCTTAATCACCTCATGGTAGTAACATCTTCCCATAGAGGAGAAAGGGAGGGAGGCCAATGCTATCTTATGAAGGCTGTACTATAATACTTAAAGAAATATAAAGGCAGAACTGGAATTGTAATTTATTCTACAGTTGTAACACATACACTCTATACATATGCATTTCTCTTGTTCATTTGGTTTTATTTATTTTACTAACTGTGCTATCCTAGGACAATTAAGATATATTTGGGGATATTAACTGAGAATTCAAATTTCACTTAATAGACAGTTACATTTTTAAAGGATCAGTAAACAACAAAAACATCCCAACCTTTTGTGCTTCCTTTATGAGTTGATCACAATAATCAAACCAGGAAAGAAATGAAATTAAGGCTCGTTTTCCTGGAAATGCCGATGCATCTTCTTTATGACTATATGAGTCCAAACTGTGGGGCACAGAAGAAACGCTAAGTCATCCAAAAGCATGAATGCAGCTCAGGGCATATGGAACAGGAAGGCACGTGAATGAACTTACACAGGATGATGTATTTACACAGGCAATACAGCATGACTACCGGATGAGGGCTTTATAAAAGAAAGCTAAAGATTAGAGAAAAACTCTGAAATAAAAGTTCTAAGTAATCTTCACTCATTATGTGGGAAGAGAGGGACTAAAGCAGAACGGAGCTGCAGGAGAAAAACCATTATCAGCTCCTCATACTTCTGCCATGAACTTGACCAAGTAACAGGAATGAAGAGTGGGAGAATCTCGGTGCTGGGAGGAAGGAAAAGGAAGGTGACGGAGGATCTGCACAAGGAAATGACTGGCCTGCTTCTCTTCCTGCCTTAACATGTACGACAGTGGAATTAACAAGTGGGTCTGACCGACAGATGTCGGCAGAATACAGGGTGGAGAAAAACAAGTAAAAACCAAGAAGGGTCAAAGATAAATAGAAAACCAGTAACAGGTTATTATGTCATAACTAGAGGTCCAGTGCACGAAATTCGTGCACTTCCGGGGGGGGGGGGGTATCCCTTAGTCCAGCCTGTGCTCTCTCACAGTCCGGGAGCCCAATGATTGATCACCCCAAAGAGGTAGGCCCCACACACCCGGCTGGGGCTCCGCGAAGGATTGCCCCAAAGAGGTAGGCCTTGCCCGCCCGGCTGGGGCTCCGCGAAGGATTGCCCCCACAGAGGGAGGCCCTGCCCACCCGCCACAGCACTGCCGCCAGGTAGCCTGGGTCTCCCTCTTTGGGGCGATCGCTCACGGGGCTCTGCCATCAATCGCCCCACAGAGGGAGGCCCTGCCCACCCAGCTGGGGCTCCATGATGAATCGCCCCCACAGAGGGAGGCCCTGCCCACCCGCCGCAGCCCGCTGGCCAGTGGCCTGGGCCTCCCTTTGCAAGGCGATCATGGGGTGATGGCCAGGCCCGAGCAATCGAATTGCACCTGCCTTGGGTGGCCTGGTGCCAGTGGTTGTCATAGAAGGTTGTCTGGACAGTCATTCTGCTGTTTGGTTATTCGGTCGATTTGCATATTAAGCTTTTATTATTATAGATATTATCCTGCTTGCCCAGCCAGCGTGGCTCAGTGGTTGAGCACTGACCTATGAACCAGGAGGTCATCAGTTCGATTCCTGGTCGGGGCGCATGCCCGGGTTGCTGGCTGGATCTCCAGTGTGGGGCGTGCAGGAGGCAGCCAACTGATGATTCTCTCTCATCATTGATGTTTCTATCTTTTCTCTCCCTCTCCCTTCCTCTCTGAAGTCAATAAAAGTATATTTTAAAAAAAATATGATCCTGCTTATAGATGGTGGGATTATGGGTGATTTTATTTACGCTGCTTTATACTTTTTTAAAAAAAATATATTTTATTGATTTTTTACAGAGAGGAAGGGAGAGGGATAGAGTTAGAAACATCGATGAGAGAGAAACATCGATCAGCTGCTTCCTGCACACTCCCTAACTGGGGATGTACCCGCAACCAAGGTACATACCCTTGACTGGAATCAAACCTGGGACCCTTCAGTCCGCAGGCTGATGATGCTCTATCCACTGAGCCAAACCGGTTAGGGCTGCTTTATACTTTTTAATAACTTATAAATGTTCTACAATAATCATAGTTTCCTACGAGAATCAAGGGGCAGCCCTGAAAGATGGGTAAAGGGGTTAGAGAATGAGGTAGGAGGAGCAGTCCTACATAGGGAGGCCAGGAACCACACAAGACTGCCCCAGGGCCCGTGGAACTTATTCATAAAAAAGATTACTTAGGATTTTTAAGAAAGATATTTTGAACCAGGTAATTCTTAGTTGTCGGGGACTGTCCTGTGCATTACAGGCCATTTAGCCACATCCCCAACCGTTATCTAACAGATGCCCATAGAACCCCTGCCCCCATTGGTGACAGTCTCAGATGCTGGCAAATGTCCCTGGGGGAACACAATTGTCCCAGTGGGAACTATTGCTCTCCAGCAGCGGCTGCAGCCAGTGAGCAGCCAGAATGTTTGAAACATGCAACACCTGCCTGCACAGTCAGGGGCACTGACCTCTTCTCCCTTAGCTTGTCAAATAAAAAAATGACAGTAGCCAACACGACCATAGCTGTCCAGGGTGAATGAATCAAAATTATACCTTTTTTTTTTTTTTTTGTCAGACCAGCAAAAAATATGTTTTGGTGTTCTGCAGAATTTTCGTAATTAGCTTATGTGTGCCATGAGATGAAAAAGGTTGAAAATCACTGCTCTACAGCAACAATTCTCAAAATTTACTACACAACTCCCCAGTGGAAGTGTAATGCTAACCACGTGTGTAATTTAAAAATTTTTAGTAGCCACATTCAAATAAGCAAATTAAGGCAGGTGAAACTAAGTTTAATAACATAGCTAATTGAACCCAATATATCCAAAATAGTATTTCAACCGACATTCGATATAAAAATTATTAATAAGGTATTTTACATTCTTTTTTTTCAAGTACTTGAAATCTGGAGTGTGATCTACACTTACAGTGAAAAAAATAAATAAATAAACAAACAAATAGATAAAGTTATTGATCTTAATGTAATGAAGGTCTTGATTGATCACTGTAATGGACAGAGGCAAAGTAGCTTCCTTATAACAGCTGGACTATTCCCATACCCATTTATTTCCACTAATTAATAACCAATTCAAAACAAGCCTCACAGAACAATCCCATTTAATGCTCACTAGCTATGTCACCTTTTTCAAAACGAAAGATTCCTGTAATAGCTCAGTGGAAATGGATGTGAAAGTACAGGATGGGAAGTCACTTTCATGGAAACACACAAGTGGTGTTCTTACCCCCAGTTTATGGCCTCCACAGTTTCAATATCTAAGGGGTCCACCGACGGAGGGAGGGCCTTGTACAGGGCGGCGAGTCTGTCGGTCAGGAGTTCGCACAGGCACGTGCTCTGCGTGAGGCACTTGGCAGCCTTGGGCTCTGGCAAACTCGCTAACAACATGAGGCCCTCGCAGGCCTTCACAGCTATCCGGCCGTCCTGCGGGGGAACACACACCCCTTTCAATTCCCAAATTAGATATCCGACGAGTAGTTGGAAAAAAATTTAACTTCAAAGGATTTAATGCTTTACTCTCAAATAAGAAAAGATTTTTTTTTTCTATTTTAAGTGCATATAACTGTGATCACATTAGGAGGGAAAGTTATAGAGACGACGACTCACAGGGCTTCTGGTGAGATTTAACAAGGAATTCACGAGGTTGTAATCCTGGTTTGGGCGGACGACCGTGGCCTCCGGCAGTGACGCGACACTCAGGTTCTCCAGGCCCGTGGACAGGTCGTCTGTCTGAGGAGGAGGCTCATCGTCTAACTCTGTCTGCTCCGTCCCGGAGGCACCAGGCAGCTCCTCGGGCCGACAGGGCTGTCCCGTGTCTGTGGACAAGGACTCTGCACCTTTTAACGTGTCTTCTGCAGTGACACTGGCTGCTCCTTTGGAAGCCAACGATTTCAACTTATTCTGAAAAGGAGTACAGGTGTTGTAAGCGTCACATCAAAAGCCTCTCAAACAGGTATCAGGCCTGAATGGATTTTCCTATCGTTAACGTTCAGTGTCTAGCCAGCAGAGCAACAGAAGTGTTTTTGACAAATGAACACGCTCAGACTTTAACAAAATGTGTTCTAGGTATTTTAAACCTCGCAGAGGCATTTCGGATACACTTTACACTCTCTACAACAAGCATGTCAAACTCAAAGGCTTACACGGGCCAAATAAACAAGGTTTAAGTTTTTGTGGGCCGCAAAAAAAACAAAAGCTTCAATTTTCATAGAAACGTAGGTTTATTTCGATAGAGTCATGCTGAATACAAAGGGCTGAAATAAATGAGTCATCGTTAACATAAAATAACAGAATATTTTAATAAAAATTAATCTTTTCTTGAACATTAACTTACCAGACACTGAATAACTGCACAAATTAATAAGCGTAACTTAAATAAACCTATTTTTCTTGTTCTCTGAAAGTGAAATATTTCCTGTTGCGCACACCAAACAAGTCAGTACAAGACTAATGACGTGGCAATCGGCTGCTAAAATATTCGCTGCTGGTATTAGTGGAGAGAAATGGTGCACCTGCGCGTTAGGCACGTAAAGGAAATGAATGCAACACGATTATAGTAATCAGTCATTAGCGAACGTTGTAGTTTGTAATTAATAATTATGTATAACAGGATATTGTAAAAATCAAGTTACGAAATTTTTATTAAAACGTTTCTTACATACCGTTATATTGGCTGGGCCGCAAAAATATTCATCGTGGGCCACATGCAGCCTGAGGGCCACGAGTTTGACATGCTTGCTCTACAAAATGTTTCACTGACCATAAGCAGTGAACAGTGTTAGTGATGCCTATTTGACTGCTACTGTATCTGAATATTCGTCTTACCTTCATCACCAGCCTATAAACTCTTTTAGGGCAAAGACAGTTTTAGCTCATTTACCATAGGATTTAACCCACAGTAAATGCGTATGTTAGATGGTATAAATTGAATATAGGTTAGATTTCAGGGGGACGTGCTTAAGAACTGCAAAGTACTTTTGTGACTGTCTATACTTACAGGTAATAAAGTTGTGTTTCTCTAAAGATGCCTTCATTCAACCGTGTTAATTAAACAGTCCTTATGCATTGTGCCAGGTACTAGACAGAGAAGCTGGGGGACCCAAAGATGAACAGAACAGAGCCCTGGTCCTCAAGGAGCTGACGGACCAGCAGGAGAAAGTAAAATGCATAGAAAAACGCGAACACAGGCATGCTCTGAAGAGTGATGAGGATACTGTACCTCCAGAAAAAAATTAACCAAATAGGGATCTTCTTTCAGTTTTGCACACACAATACAGAGAAACTGAATTTCTTCATTTTCCGTTGGTGTTGCAAGGACTTCACCACAGAGTCGAATTAATTTCTGTCAACAATTTTTTCAAAAATGTTTAAAGTTAGCTTATTTTTCACAAGTATGTATATAGCCATCCATATACCTTAGGGATAAAGTTTTCAAATAATGCAAACAGCTTGCATTATTCAGAAAGGACACTATTTACAATCACCGACATCAAAATAAGTTTACTAGTAGTAAATTTTTCAAATGCATTACCGCCCACCCCCCCCACCCCCTCACCCCCGCAAAATGAATGAGGTATATAAAACTCCTTGAGATGTCATGGAGATGAGTTAAAGGAAAAATCAATGTATAAAATTTTAAAAGAAAAATATAATAAAGACATGAAATACATTTAATACCATGTCATACATAAAGCTCAAGTACTTGCTAATTTGCATGTAATTTTTAGAATAACTTCCTGTATTATTTGTACTCTTAGAAAAATTATATACAATTATATCTATACCCAAAGCAATCAAACCAAATAACTTTGTGTGTGGGGAACACGTACCTGCACGGGCCTGTGCACGTTGATGTGCGGAAGTAGCGGCTGCTTGATTCTGCCCAGGAGTTTGGTGTAGAATCCCAGCACCTGCTGCTTCATTCCTGGAGGACACTGAGTAAAAGAGGAAAGGAAAGTAAATAAGAAAAGAACAGACAATACAAACATGCTTACTCAAATGCTTACAAGATAGGAGAGACAATGAATTCAAACGTATTCCACCCTCACCAGCCAGTGCAATTAGCCAGGATAAAATTCTCAATCAATTATTAATGCCTGGTATCCTGGAAATAGAATGACATCTGGGACTAGAATACAGCAAATGGGGCCAGGGGCTGATGTAATTATAGACCGCATGGTGGCAATACGCTGTTGAGATCCGAGCGTGGTTCGGGTGACGTCAGCCTGTTTTTACTCTAAGTGCTAAGATAACATGAAACAATTATACTTACCTCCTTGGCAAAGTAAAGTCAGACTGTTGTTACTTAAACTAATGGCAGGTAATCAGTAACTGTCTATCATATAAATGCAGGAGTGAATAAAGCCTAACACATGTATGTAAATAAAAGGACTCCTATGGTATACACTTCTGTGATCTAGGCCAACAACACTATTTTAAGTTAGTTGCAAAGTTATTTAAATTATTATTGTAGGCAATTAATATTTAAAAAAGAAGTTTTTATAACATGACAGTTGTTTTAAATATTTTCTTAAAAGTAGGTAAACATGATTATTCACATTGTGAATTAAGAGAGTATGAATTGATGTTATATGGTCTATAATTAACCTGCTTATACTGCCTCAGAACTAAAATACAGTCACAAAATGTGTAGCATTTCTAAAGCATGATCACAGACATGCTATCCAGAAACAGTATAAATTATGTTAAGCACAATATTTTTAAGATAGCAATACCTTGCATTATTCAGATAAACCACTAGTAGTTACAATTACCTATATCAAAATATTATTAGTAGTACAACCACTAAAATGTACTGAAAAATCAATTAATATTTATTCAACTTAAGACATTCACTGAACAGAATCACAGATTTTTAGAGTTAATACTGCTTGATATCACTTCCTTGTTTTGAAAGAAGAGGAAGATTAACCAGCAAGACTTGCTGAAGGTTGCAGTATATTAGTGACAAAGCCAGGCCTCCTAACCTGAACCCCAAGTTCTTCCCCTACCCTCACTACCTTTATGAGTAATTTGAAACTTTTGAAGCACAGAATATTATTTATAGAATACCAGCTTCACAAAGATTTCCCAAGACTCATTAGGCCTAAAACCTTGAATGGTCTCCACTTACTAGGAGAGTTAATGTCAGAAGAATCAGTGACATTCTCTTTCAGGATTATGAAACAGAATTCCTATTTCTGTTTTTGTATAATTCCTAATTTTTGTAACCCAACTTTCACTGGGTTCCCTCTCACTTCCTTTGATTCTGAGCACATGTACTTGAGTTTATTTTCATAAATGTTTACACTGGGATACTAGGCTGCCCAGGTACCAGTTATTGTCTAGAGCATTTGGGAGTTTTTCTATCTCTATGGAAAGTCATGTTCTTATAGGATGCACAATTTTCATTTTTTGTACAACACTGACTTAAGTCCTGCCATGCTTAATACATCCCTCTACAATTAAATGTAGTACTTGGCAGCTTCTTTATCTCTAAGACGTGACTACATGTATTACGTGCCTAAGGACATGATGTGGATTAGAAACTTACATCAGCTTTCCCTAAGGTATATAATGTTTCCAGGATCTTGTGATGAAGCAAGTATTCCATACATGGCCCCGTCTCTCCAGATTCCCGTTCCTTTTCTTCTTGTACCAATATATCTAACATCTGTTCCAGATGAGATGGAATATTTGTATCTGTCACTGGGGCTTTGTCATCTAAATGATAAAAAAACGTTTGTCAAACAACCCAACATTTTTAAACTGCGTATTTAAACTAAATACTTTATTGAATATTAAACTGCATATTTTAAACTAGAAAAATCTGAACTATACACTTAAATGAGGTTTATACTCATAGTATAAGTATCTTTGCCAGAATTTAGATGATGCTTTAACCATTTTTTTAAAATTGATTTTTAGAAAGAGAGAGAGAAACATTGATGTGAAGAGAAACATCGATCGGTTTGCCTCCTCCATGCTGAGGATGGAACCAAATTCTGGGCACATGCCCTGACTGGGAATCAAACCCACAACCTGTTGATGTACGAGATAACACTAGAACCAACTAAGCCACACAGGCTGGGCGCTTTTGCCCTCTTATTAGAAAACTGAATCAGCCTGGCCAATGTGGCTCAATGGTTGAGCGTTGACTCATAAACCTGGTCAGGGCACATGCCCGGGTTACGGGCTCCATCCCCAGTTGGGGATAAGCAGGAGGCAGCCTATCGATGATTCTTTCTCGTCACTGATGTTTCTATCTCTTTGACTTTGGGAATAGCTATCTGTTAATAAGAAGAATGTCAGAAATTGTTAAAAGGGCTTCTTTGGTCTCCTCGTGTTTTCATAATGGAGATGACTTCCCAGTGCTAAGAAGTAACTCAGTGGCAATCAAAACAGAACCTGTCCTCTCTCTGTTTTCTAGGTTAGTAAGCTTAATTTCAAGGCCAACCTGTTTCTATATAAAGATACTTAAAATTCAGGCCATCTAACTGGCTAATTGAAAAAAAAATTTTTTAATTACAAGTACATACAAAATTTTTATGTTTACATGCATTTTTCCTGATCATGTTCCCATTTTTCCCCAAATGGCTCTTATTTCTACATTATTATGAATAAAAACTAACTTACAGAATATAGAGTGGGGCAAAAGTAGGTGTACAGTTGTTTGTATGGAAAATAAAATAATAAATAATACAAGAATAAACTTGTTTCATGGACTCACAACTGTACACCTACTTTTGCCTCACCCTGTGTACAGTCTGATTTTTATTCATTGCGCAAATACAAAGGAGTTTTTTTCCGTTAAGACACATCCCCCAGAACCCTATCGACTTGCCAAATCAACTACCATTTTTTCATGTTTCCTTTCAGTGAAATGACATGTGCCCAACCTGCATATCCACTAGCGTTCACCTATCATTCCTCAAGGGAGCCCGCATGCCTTGTAGCAATGCTACTGTACTTCCCTATTCCCGACTTCAGAAGTTCCAAACTTTACCCGCAGGGCAAATCCAGCCTTGCCATCTATTTTGATAAATAAAGTTGTATTAGAACAAGGGACTGTATATTCTTTTAAACGTTATCAATGGCCAGTTTGCATTACCACAGAACTGAGCAGTTACAGAGAGACCACATGGCCTACCCCTGGCCCTTTACTGGGAAAGTTTGCCCAGCCTTGACTAACTGTTCATGTTCCCCCACATTCACTCTGCATCCTACATACTCACTGAGAAAAACGGAAACCAGAAGGTAACTTCTGAAGACTTCCTACACCACATCTGCCCGCTTCCTGCACTTATTCCCAGATGTTCTGCTTTCTACCTTATTTTTTATGGAGAAACTGTCCACAACCTATTGAGCGCTAAGCCTCTGCTTGTGCACTAGGTCCCATCCTCCCCCTCCCCCTGCCCCTTGCCCCCTGCCTACTCAGGGACATTGCTCAGAAATGATCTCATCTGACTACTATACTCACCTTTCCCTCCCTACTAGGTCATTCCCATTAAATTATAAATTGCATACTTTCTACCTTAAAGTATCCTTGCCTCTTTTGACACTACACCTCCCTCCAGCTGCTGCTCCATTTCTCAGCTCCCTTTACGCCAACACTCCCCAGTAGAGCAACCTACCTAACTCCAGGGTTCCAGTCTTTCTTGGCTATTGTTCTCATCTTCCTAATCCCTAGACATCGAGTCCAAGGGCTCAGTTCCTGAACACCTTCTCTCTCCCATCTATCCTTACTCCCTAAATAAGCTCATCTAGTCTCAGGACTCTCAATTTCATATCCCTCATTTCGTTAGATCTCTACCCTGAATGCCTATTTCCAATTGTCTACTTGACACATCCAACTAGATCAGTGGTTCTCAACCTGTGGGTCGCGACCCCTTTCACAGGGGTCGCCTAAGACCATCGGAAAACACATATATAATTACATATTGTTTTTGTGATTAATCACTATGCTTTAATTATGTTCAATTTGTAACAATGAAATTGGGAGTCACCACAACATGAGGAACTGTATTAAAGGGTCGCGGCATTAGGAAGGTTGAGAACCACTGAACTAGATAGATCATGAGCATCTCAAACTCAATATGTTGAAAATTCTCTTTCAAACCTGCTCCTCCTGCAGTCTCCTCATTCTCTATTTTTCCAGTTTCACTACTTACACCAAAACTTTGGAGATAGCCTTGCCTTTTATTCTCTCATGCCCAATATCCAATTCTTCAAAACGTACCCAGAATACGATCACTTCTGATCACCTTCCCCCCTGCTCTAAGTCACCACCTCTCAAACCACTGCAATAGTCCCCTAACTGTTTACCGGCGGCATCACCTCCACATCCCTTCAATCTAAATTTTCATAGAAGCCACAGTGACCCGGTCACCTCTACCCAAAACCCTCTAATGGCTGCCCACCTGAGAGTACAAGCCAAAGCCCTGGGATGGCTTACAAGGTCTTATGTGAATCCCCACCCTCCAGCTTTGATTTTATCTCCTACCAATTTCTCACGTTCAATCTAGCCACACTGGCTTCCCCATAGTTCCAGGAATTGTCCACACAAGCGCAGGCTGCCTGTTCCAGCCTCAGGGTCTATGCACATCTCCTTTTCCTGCAATTTCTCTCCCACTCCCTGCCCCCCTCCCCCATCACCCCCACCCCGGACTTGCTTCCTCTCTCCCTCAGACTTCAGTTCAGACCTGGCCTGGGGCAATGAGGCTTTCTCTGACCTACAAAGGCCATCTTCCCACCTCCAGCACACACTTCTATTTCCTCAGCCTGCTTCATGGTCTCTTTAACACTTTCCATCTGACCCACTGTATGTATCTGTCTACTTGTTTGCTTCCCTCCAATCAATGTATTAATTTTGTTATGGATTTTGTCTTTTTGATGGTTCTATCCCCCAGTGCCTGGAAAAATGCCTACACAGCGTAGGTGCTCACTCGGTGTGTTTTTTTTAATGAATCTAAAAGAGGAATTAAAAGTAAATTGCTTATAAATTTAAATATAACTGAAGACGAATCTGAAATACATTTCCGTATTCCACATTTTTCTGTGTAATTAGCCTTAGCATTGTTTCTTACCCGAAGTCTCTATGTAGTAATGGGTAATTGCCTTCCAGTGGTAAACGAAATCCTCTTGTAAAGGAAGAGAGGGTGCTAGCTGCACAAAAACACACACACACAAAGACCACAGTTACGAAAGTGGCATTCCAGTTTCCCACAAAGTACAATTCTGTATTTGTCTACTAATCATGCAAAAGCAACATACAAATAAGGGGTGAGCTTTTACTTGCTCCCATTTTCCAGACATCAAAGAGAAGCAAAATGAGTCAAATCCAAGAAGGTGAAAATGATTTCTTAAGAAAGAGGACACACACATTTATCAACATTATTATTAAACTACAGGATTATTTAGTTCCCTTCCCCTGAAAGCAGTAACTGCAGACGGCTTCAAAAGAAACAGTGTTCAGTGAAAACACACAATATTCTATTACTCAAGTATCAGTAAAATGCCCTTATCAGTCACCGGGGATAAGGGCATTGTACCTAGGACTTTGACATGCAAAACAGCAAAATGCTGCTGTATCATTAGTGACACATCATCACTACTACGACATATACCAAAGTCAACCCCATAATCAGATTAAAACTGTTCCCTGCTCTCAGTGGCAGACAGATGTACATCTTTTCTTTTTTAAGCCTAGAATAGGCAGGGCGTATTTTCAGCAAAATAACTATGTGAACAAGGCACAACGTCAAAAATGTTTTACATTTTAGCTTTGAAATTTACTTCAGAGGTTTTAAGACCAAAATTATAGCCCTTCCCCAAACCTACAAGTCTTTCAAATGTGTGTTAAATGGACAGAAAAGACTTGGTGGCTCTGGCCAGTTTTACTCACTGGTTAGAGCATTGGCCTGCGGACCAAAGGGTCATGGGTCCGATTTCCGGTGAAGGGCATGTATCTCAGTTGCAGGTTTGATCTCTGTCCCTGGTCAGGGCGCATGCGGGAGGGAACGTTTATGTGTGTCTCTCACATGGATGTTTCTCTCTCTCCTCCCCCTCTCCCTCCCTTCCATTCTCTCACTAAAGAGCAACGGAAAAATATCCTCAGGTGAGGAGTAACCAAAAAGAAAAAGAAAAGACTTGGTGCATCTTCACCAGCATTTTCCTTTGAGGGGGGGAGGGGTGGGGGGAGGGAGAGAGAGAGAGAGAGAGAGAGAGCGAGCCCTCTTTAGTATCATCAATAAATTTTTACCAGAAAGTACAGAGTTGGCCCAGCTCACTTAAGAACAAATAGGTTTCTATTCTGGTAACCTGAACTCTGTCAGGGTAATCGTCCAATTTCATGTACTTCATCTAGACAGACGTCCTAAGAGGTCATGTTACTCCTGCCCTTCTACTTGTTCCCTTTTGATTTCTTGGTGTCCCCAGCAGAGAACTCGAAGTTCGAAACCCTGCGAAAACAACTTCCAAACTATTGGGCAATTATAAACTCTGGTTTCAGCCCAGAAGGTGACACGGTTTCAATCCAGAAGGTGAAATGTATTTAGGGAGAAACCGGGCCTGAGGAGTGCTCAGCAATCATCACCACCTTAATGCTGCTGGCTCTTCCATCCCTGCCCATTCTCACCCTTCTGAATAATACTGAGTTACGAGAACATAAGTATTCATCTCATTTGCAAATAGGATTTTATGAAAAAATTTTAAACACTCTAAAATCTTTAACAAAGGAGTTAAAACCTTCGGGAGTACTACACTTCAAGAACATGGAGAGAGAAATGACTTTGACTTGTGGGAGGTTGAGGGGGAAAAATAAAAAAGTAAGAATGAAGGTGTTAATTTGGAAAAACAATCTTCCTGAAATTTTCAGATTAAAAAAAAATCTGTTTTAATCAGCTGCTTGTTTTGGGAATCTTTTTCAAAACATAAAATTTCTCTTTTTCTTTTAGACCTGTTCTTTTTTTTTTTTTTAATATACCAGCTTTACATATAGTTAAATGTATTAACAATTGGGAAAAACCCAAATGAAATTTGGCATTTCAAGAAATGTACTTAGTTTCTTAAGTATAAGTGTGTGATTTGTTAAATTTTCCTGAGGGAACCTCCTGAGTATATAAGATCACAGCATCCTTGTTCCAAATTATGTTACCCATGGGACTTAACTCTATTTCCAGGGGAAGCCACTAAATCCAAGGCCTTCCAGGGTTTGTGTCAGGACCTTTGTAATTACAGACAAATTCAAGGGATGATGTCCTTGCTTGCTTATAAAATACCCCTCTTCCAGGAGTTTGATTTAAAGAAAAAAATACTATTTAAGCAGCTGGCGAAGCAGTTCTAAATTGCTAATAACTTAGTTTAGTAACAATCTAGTTCAAACATGAATAAATTTCCTTATTTATGTAAAACTTCCTAGTAAACTTGCCTCTTCCATTACTAATTCTCACATGCGAATGAATTACCTGCTTTATCATTGCATAAAAACATTTATGCTCTGGGTAAAAAAACAAAAAGGGAAGAGATGTGTGAATCAGCATGAGGGAATTCTAATTTCAGTTAACTTGAACAAAACAGCGATTAAATTTTTGAAAATTCATGCAATCCATATCTCAAACAGAAACTGACATAAGTGCCTAACTTACCCACAGCTTTCTCTGGGAAATCTTGCCAGACTCCCTGCCTAGGATATAGCCTTTTCCACCCACGCTGTGGAACCCCCTACCAGTCTGCCCCGCCTCTCCTAGTCCTCATCCCACGTCTTTAATTGTTGAATTATCCATCTTCTCCACTAGATTGTGAACTCTACGAAGGCTGGGAATGGTCATCTTTTCATCACTGAATCCCCAGTTTCCAACTCAGTGATGGCATTTAGTAACCATTCGCTGACATCTATTGAGTGAATAAATGAATGGCACAGCGGTTGCCACATTTAGTAAGTAGTTATGTGCCAGGCGGTGTGCTACAAAGTTTGCACTTACTGTGTGTGGTCTTAAACGTTCACAATAAAAGCCTACTTTTCCCAACAAACTCCTATTAAGACCCAAAGCCAGGTAACTGACTTGCCCAAGGAAACACTGCTTGTAACGAGAAACCCGACTGTCTGTCTTCAAAATGCCTACCACACAGAGGATCTCCACTGATAATCCACACGAGAACTAGTGTCCTCAAAGCCCCCCTGCATGCTGCCGCACGTGTATCATGAACACTCCATGCCCAGATCTTTTAAAATACTTCTTCACCCCAACTTTTCTAATGCCCTTCCTCTCTTCTCTGCCTCCAAAGTCCAGCTCAAGTCTCGTGTCCTCCAGAAAGCCTTTCCCAACTACTCCAATCCTAAGTGCCTGCCCCCTTCCTCCCTTGGAACTCACTGGCTGAACAGCCATCCAAATAATACTACTACTAATAAATCATCTATATTATAAAAGGCACGTGGCCGTAACGCCGTAACGACCAAACAACCGGTCACAGGAGGTGCATGGAGCACCTCTTGGGCTCTCCCCTCACCCCTCACTCCCGGGGCACCAGCAGCGTCAACGGAGCGTGGGGGCCTCGTGGGGTGGCAGACATGGCCCTGATGGCAGGCCGGGCCTAGGGGACCCTACACGCACACGATTTAATCGTGCGCTGGGCCTCTAGTAATAATAATAATAGTAGTGGTTAACCTTTAATGAGTACTTACTAAGTGCCAGGGACTGCACTAAGCACTTCAGGTACATGATCTCATTTAAATTTTCACAACAATTCTGAGATAGGGACTGGAACCCTGTTCTGTCCGCTTTAAGGGCTAAGCCACACTCTTGTGCATTGCTTATACTTTAACTGCATATGTGTTTGTTTTGTCTCCCAAATGAGACTGTAAACATCGTGGGCAAGGACAAGGGCACGACTGTGTCTCTTGCACTGGGCCATGCTTTCGAGGTGGGCTCATTAAACACTTGCTGAATGACCCCAAACGGAAGTTAGAAATCTCTTCTTGTTAAAGAATACACTCCAGACATATGTTTGACTGGAGGTTTTCATTCCCAGGGCAGAGTCGTTTTTTAAAGAAATAGCTGGTCCCCCAAAATCAAGATTAGCTCTTAACTGTAATTTCAAATTATGAAAGATGACTTCAATTGAATTAACTAGTTAAAACGAATAAAACTTCCTTCCCTCACTGCCCTTTCTCCTCTTGGAATAAGTCTGCCCTCAAAGGATGGAACTGGCTGGAGTTAAAAGATACCAGTCCCTGGCAGATGACCTAGCACAGACCAGGCCCTCAACAAATACTGACTTGTACTTAATTGGAAGGTATTTTATTTATTACCCTTTGGAGAATTTGTACTGAAATGATCCAGGCCAACTTCAGAACAAGAGAGGCCTGATTTCAGATTTGTGACACGGGGCAACTAACAAAACAGATTCGTTTCATAACTCTTACTGGCCAACCCTCTCTATACTGAAGGGGGCCTGTCACTTCTGAAAGGAGAGGCAAGAATGACAAGTTTTGTTTTTGATCAAGGGGTGAATTTCTCTCCTAAACTCAAATCGCAGTCTATCAGCTTAATATCACATTTTCAAATCCTAACCTTTGAAAATATCTCAGTGTTGTTGTTTTTCTTGTTAAGTAGTTAACAGGAAGTGAAGCGAAACCATTAAATCTACCTTTAAATCTCACTTAAATGAATAAGTATCTGGTCACCCCTAAAAAGAAAAAACCACTTGAAGCCTGATCCAATGGGATAAAGCAACCTAAATGTAATAATACCAAATGGGAAAACATCAAGTCATGCGATGACAGGCCGAAAAAGGTCATGTCCGAGTCTGCCTGCAGGATTAGCACCTGTCTGTACAATCCTGATAATTATTATATGAATTGTAATACTGTATCAGAAAATACTAATTGAGCATACCAATGAAAAGGAATACAGAGAAAAGCTAATGAAAGGAAGTGAGGAACGGTAAGATGAGCTTACAGAAAACAATGTTGAGCAAATAACTAGAACTTCATAAATGGAAACCAATCTTGGGCTAGGAAAAAGTATTCCTCAAGTGCCACACAGATGGCTTATTTATCATGAGGTATGAATTCATTCCCAAGAGATATGTTAGAAGAAAAAAAACAGTGTGTCAACATTTTTTCATGAGCTTTCACCTCCTATCTAGGTAAACTGGGGAGCATGACAGCTGAAAACACCAACTCTAAGCCAGTAAAAACAACGTTCCTAAATTCAACGTGGTGGTCGTTCTGCGGTGAGTATAATCCCCTCTAACTTCCTCACTAACCTCAGCAAAGTAGAGACCCTGGATAGGACAGAACCAGCGTCAGACGATCTACATGGACAATTTGGTAGATGCGAACATATACAATTACGAAAAGATAACGAGGCCCGAACACACAGGCCTCGGGGACAAAATGAGTCTTTACTGGGAGAGCATGAAAGCCATCTTTTTCTAAGTACCTATTTCTATAAACATGAGCCTGGTAGGTAAAGGATATAAATAATGTACTACATTTTTATTCCCAGTGATCTCAATATTAAACTAGTCAATGTTGAAAAGTAAGTGATGGTTAAGGAATAATGTCAAATGTAAACACCACTGCTTTTTACAAATTTTAGTCTAATTCTTTTACCATAAAGACGCTGCAGACTGTGGACGAACGCCTCAGAGTCTAAAACTGTCCCCTCCCTAATGTGTCACACTGCTCTTCATGCATGCACACGTCCTCTCTGGATTTGCGACACACGTTTTCCCGAGAACCTGCCGTAAAGCTAAAAGGATCCCAAAACATTTCCCACCTGCCACTTAAAATAACTGTACCAAAGTTTGTTTTCATGACCGAGTTTTTAAAATCCATGGCAACAGAAACTGTCCTACTGGAATTGTTTTTGTTTTTTTTTTTTTAAATAAAGTTGGGTGTCTTTTAATGTGCGCTATCACCCAATCTGAACACAGAAAAGAGGATGACATTTTAAAAATCGGCAAAGTAACAGCTGCTTCACAGGATGCACATCTCCCAGAGTCGAGGAAAGCAACTCCAGCAAAGCCATAGGCCCCTGGGTAACCCGACAGCCGCCAGACCGGCTCCGGTCCTCTTGCGAGGACCTGGGAACAGTGCGTGTCGACGCGGGGGTCTCGGGTCCTCGGAGGCGAGCACAATGGCAGGACGAACGCAGGGCGTCCAGGAAGAGGAGGCAGGAGAGGAAACAGATGGCGGGGCCCGGGCGGCGAACCCCCACTCCGAGCCCCTCCAAGCTCCTCGGTGTCACATCCCTCACCCGGGTCCCGCCGGCCAGGCCTGCGCGCAGAGCTGGCGGGGCCACGGCACCGGGTCGGTGGGTGCGTCCTCGCCGGGGTCGCCCCCAGGTAGGCGCGCACCTTCCTGCTCCCCCGCCCCCCAAACACAAAACAAAACAAACCCACCCCGAGCCGCGCGGGGCCGTTCCTTTTGTCTGGCTCCAGGCCGGCCACTTTCTGCCGCGGAAGCTAACGGTCACGGCCCCGGGGGCGCTCCCAGGGGCCCCGCCAGGTGCTCCCCGGCTCCCCGTCCCCATCAGGGAATCGGAGACACCCCCTCCCCGGCGGCAGGGCCGGTCCTCCCGGGCACCCCAGCCCACGCCGCTGGGGAGGGCACGCGCCCCCGCCGGGCCCGGCAGGACGGGAATCCCCGGAAGGGACCGGCTCCGAGCCAGGCCCGAGGCCCCGGCGACCCGAGAGCCGGCGGCGCCCGCCCCGGCCTCGCCCTCGCCCTCCGGGAGCCGGGCCGCGGGGCGCCGGCCGCGGGTAGGGAGCTAGGCCGCCCGCCGGCCTGTGCGCGCCGCCGCGGCCTTACCGCCTCCACGGCGTGCTGCAGGATGGAGGTGAACTTGGAGAACATCCTGTCCCGGGACTGCAGCAGCCGCTCCCGGGACGACCTGGAGAGCTCCTCGATCCGCCGCCGCCGCCCCTGCTGCGGCTGCCGGGGCCGCTCCAGAGTGAAGGCCGGTGCGGGCGCGGAGGCCGAGCGGAGCCGGGAGGCGGCGGGCGCCCAGGTGCGCGGGCGGCGGGCGGGCGGCGCTGGGACGTGGCGCGGGGAGGGCGGTCCGCGCGATCGGGCCCGCGACGCTCCGTTGGCGGCGGCGGCGGCGGCTCCGGCGGGGACACGGTGGCAGCCGGCTCGGTTCCTTCCGCCCGCCGTGCCCGGCGCGGCCTGCAGGGGGCGCCGTCGCGGCCCGGGGAGCCGGGCCAGGCCTGCCCCGCAGGGCGCCGGGGCGCGGAGAGGCCGCGGCTCGGGCGGGAGCCGGGCCCGGCGCAGCCACCGCCCGCCCCAGGCTTCGGGGCGCCTCGGACCCCCTGGTTTTTCAGTGCCGGTCACCCAGCCGGCCTCTCAGATGTGTTGCGGGTGGAAATGACACGTAGGGAAGCGTGGCCGTATACGTGTGTGCTGGTCGGGGTTCGTCTTTTAAGGGTGGATTTGGAAGAACGGGATGAAAAAGCACAGTATTCCTAAGGCGAAGTGCACCCTGGATTTAAATGCTAGAAATGAGAACAGACCAGCCGACACTGGTGAAACGGCTTTGCAAACTGTAAAATAGATTCCTATGACTAATTATTCAACATTAAAATGGGAAGCCCCGCCCAGCCTGCGTGCTCAGTGGTTGAGGGATAGCTCCACCTTATGAACGAGGAGGTCACAGGGTACATGCCCGGGGTGCGGGCTCAAGCCCCAGTGTGGGCAGTGGGCCTCTCTCATCATTGATGTTTCTATCTCTCTCTCTCTCCTTCTCCCTTCCTCTCTGAAATCAATAAAATATATATATTTAAATAAATAAATAACAAAAGAGGAAGCCCCAAACGGACCAATGGTCAGATGGGCCAGTTAATCTGTTTCCTGTGTTATTCTTGGGTGCAATGAATTCAGCACAGCATTTTCTATTCCGTTTACCGGTTGACACTGGAAAGAATCAGAAGGGATTCTAGGAAATGGCACGGCACAGCTATGTGGACCTACAATGTAAGCAAGCACTGGGATAGAGGCTTCCGAAAATGCTATGCAACAGTGCGTATCCGTCAAGCCTCGGGGAAGCACAATTCCGGCTGCTGAAATTTAGGGCGGGTTGATACAGTTGATGAAAATGTTCATATCCTGGAGAACTTGGTGTTTGTTTTTGCTAGTGTTGGTATTTTATCAACAGGACCATTAAGTTCTTGATAAGATGAGGGTGGAGTAAGTTTTGCCCAACCAGTGATGAAAATATGTATTGGCCGTTGTACTGAGAAAGGCAGGAAAGGTAGCCAGCGGTGCAGAGTGGGTATGAGAGTCTTTGGAGCTAAGGAGCCGAAGTGGAAATCCCAGCGTGGCTCAGGGGTTGAGCATTGACCTATGAACCAGGAGGCCACGGTTGGATTCCCAGTCAGGGCACATGCCTGGGTTGTGGGCACCATCCCCAGTGTGGGGCCTGCAGGAGGCAGCCGAGCAATGATTTTCTCTCATTATTGATGTTTCTATCTCTCCCTTTCTGAAATCAATAAAAATATATTTAAAAAATCAATATAAAATTGGAGAGACTAGCACAAGGTTGTGTGGCACTTAATTAATATATGCAAAAACAGTGCCCAGTCCATAGTTAGCAATACATAGGCCCTTGGTATTTATCATTATTATTATTGGCAATGATAGTATTTACAAAAAAAAAAAAAATAGGGCCAGAAATCAAGATTTAGGGAGAGGACTTTATTTATTTATACATATTTTTCATACTTATAGCAAGGATTGCTATCAAACTCCACTCACTGGGCCAGGAATCCTTGTGGTGTCAGTGGAGTATTTGCCCCTCACTTAGCACACGACCTCAGCTTGTAAGCCCATCGGCCACCAGTGGCCTCAACACCAAACTCTCACAATGTGATTAAGGAGGAGACCTTGACTAGTCTTGTCTTCTCTTCTCCTCTGTTTATGTCGTTTGAATCCATGCACAGCAGGTAGATCTGGCCTTAATTTATGGTGCACTGGCCCCAGAATGCTGGGGTCCTCTTCTGTTGTTGGCTGAACACTGACATGTGCTCCTACTCAAATTTTGGCTAATTGTGTCTGCTTCAGCCAACAGTCCATAATGGCTATTATTATTATTATTATTCACACAGGTTAAGATGGTTAGTCATATTGTTAACCATACTTATTTTCCTGACCTAATTGTCCTACATTTATGTGGTATTTTGCATTTTCATAATGCCTCACCACCACTAATTGTATGGGGAGGTCTGTGTAAGATGGGCTTACTTAGAGTTGTTCGCGTTTGATGATGCCTGTGCTCATTATAAACACAATAAAGTATATGTTCTAGTCTAGATTAATAGCAATTTTAGGAAGATGATTTATCTACCTCATATCTCGGTTCCAGGACATACAAGTTGGACTAGAATTGTAATTGAGCAGATATTCTTGCCTCCTAGTCTCATCCTTGATGCCTGTGGCGGCCCTGTGATTATCACCTGCCTTTTGCATGGGCAGAGGTGAACCTACCTCAACGAAGTGGGATTTGAGAAAGCGTAGCAGAGGCTTCCCTTGGCCTCCTAAACCCTTAGATGTGGTTGCCTAAAACTCTTCAGTTAGAACTTTATTCCTGTGGCTTAAGCCAAATGAGAAATTTAGTTCCTGCTAAAATTAAAATACTCTTCAGAGAGATAACAGACACATGAAACTCTATCATGCATTACGCCTCAGGGTGAATGAATTAGTTAAATTCTTCTCTGAATGAAGTTTAATCAGTGATGGAGACCAAAAGAAAAAATAGAGAAACAGGGCAAAAAGGAAACTCAGAGGAAACACAGTTGCTTGCATTGAACAGAGAGGGAAAGATGGGTAAGAAATCTTTAAAAAACAGAAGCAAACAAACAAACGCTGTCATTAGTATTTCCCGAGAGATAAAAGATACTGCATCAGTAAAACATGAATGTTATGTTATTTTTTTTAAAGCACCATTTAGAGAGCATTTAGAAATCAAGAATAATGATAACAGAACTATAAAAACAACACAAAAAAGGATGAAAAGTAAACTTGAAAAAATTGCCCAAAGACTAGAGCAAAAATGACATAGGGATGAAAACTTGGGGGTAGGGGGGTGAAAATTAGAGGGGCCAGTCCAGCAGACCCAACATCTGAATAATTGAAGAGAGTAGAGAGAGGAAATCATTAAACTAATAACTCAATGTAATTTTATAGATCTTAAAGGATGAGTATCCAAATTCAGAGAGTGCGTTAAATACCAGAACAACGACTGCAAACAGACTCACCCTAGTGGCCATCGTGGTAAAATTTCAGAACACCGGCTTCAGAGAAAGATCCTATAAAACGTGTCATGAGGGAAAGGAAAAATAGGAGTTCATACAAAGAATCAATAATTATAATGAATTACACTTTTCAGCAACAACATGGGAAGTGAGAAGGCGTTGGAGCAAAGCCTTCCAAATTCGAGGTACAAGAATTTCAATCTGGAATTCTATTGCTAAGGAACTGTCAGTTCAGTGTGAAGGTAAAATAACTCGTGTCAGATGTGCAAAGTATTGAAAACTTTTCCTGCCGTTCACCCTTTCTAAGGAAGCTGTCAGAAGCTGTGTTCCACCGAAACTCAAAACTCGGGGAGTAGGCCAAAGGAGAAAATGACGAGGGAACTAGATAACAGGGCCCCCACAAGATGGTGATGAGGGAAATTTCTAAGGTAATGGTGAAGCAGAATCCCAGCATGACAACTACTCCTCAAGCTGCGAGAGCAAGCCACCCGCCCAGACTGGAGCAGGGCAGAAGAGATTTCCTCAAGAAGATGAAACTGGGAGATGGAATAGCTATGAGTTTGAGTAGATTTACAATAGAGGCGTAGAGTTTGATGTTGGGTTAATGATAAATACAAAGAAAACGAAGCAAAGAAAAAGCCCAGATCATTATTATCACCGAGAAAAAAAAATATTGTGCAGGAACAAGTAATCATAGTTTCCATGGCTCAACTGTAAATAGCGTTGACATAACCATAATAATGTAAACACTGATCTAATTAAAATGATGGTATTGCTCTTTTGAGAAGATGAAAAGATGGATGAGTGGTAGAGATGGAGATAGGGGAGGGTGTGTAAGAGAGAGAAAAAACTAAATCCTCTGTAATGGGAAAACATTAGATATTGCTTAAAACAGTTATCAAGAAGTGACATGCATATTATTTAAAGAAAGGAAGTAATAAAAGAGTCCACTCAAAGTGCGGAAAAAGGTTGCCTGTGTAGAGCAGGAAATTGGGAGTTTTGGAGAAAGAGCAGGGCTTTCATCACAAACCGTGTAAAACCTCTTGAATAAACAATATGCTGGTGTAACTGATATGCCCAAAGTTTGTTTGGCCAAGGGAGAAACTAGAGGCAAGAAACCATTTTTGGTGCTTTCTAAAAAGTTTAGACACAAGATTATAAGGGTCAATAACTGTGGGAATAGGAAGGAGATGGTAGACTTCAAAGATGAGGTGAGCTCAACCAAATTGTGTAAGTGATTAAATATAAGGAGTGAGGGAGAAGGAAAAGTCAAAAATATTGGTGGAGTTTCTAGCTTGGATGAGAGTAGGTGAAGATTCCATTAATTGAGATAGGGAATATGAAAACATCTATATGTATAAAAGCCTAAGTGACCTTTATGACCGAATGACCAAACAACTGGTCGCTATGACGCACACTGACCACCAGGGGCCAGATGCTCAACTCAGGAGCTGCCCCCTGGTGGTCAGTGTGCTCCCACAGCCAACCTCTCCCGGCTGGTCGGCCAGCCCCAATCAGCCCGATCGGTGGTGGGGCCAGCCGGCCAACCTCCCCTAGTTTCTCCCTCTGGCCAGCCAGCCCTGATCGGCCCTGATTACTGGCCAGGCCAAAGGACCCCACCCGTGCATGAATTTGTGCACCAGGCTTCTAGTAGAAAAATAATGAGATGAGTATTTTTTTGGTGTGGTTATGTTTGATTACCTATATGATGATATCTATGGGAATATGTCTCAGTATGGATCAATAAGTTTGGATTAGTCAGGGGAGAAATCTGGGCTAGAAATAAAGATTTGAGAGTCATCTCTTAAAGATGTTCATTGATTAACCATTATTCTGTATACTTGAAACTAATGTAAAATAATATTAAATGGCAACTGTAATTGAAAAATAAAATCTAAAAAGAGATGGTAATTG